GGGGACTTGTGAACAGTGGGGTTCCACAGCAATCAGTACTGGGACCACAACTGTTTACAATATATATTAACGTCTTGGAGGAAGGAAGCAAATATGCTGTAGCTAAGTTTGCAGATGACACAAAAATAGGTAGAAAGGCCGGTTGTGACAGGGTTACAAACAGTATACAGAGACATATTAAACATTAAGTAAGTGGGAAAAAAGTTGGAAAATAGAGTATAATGTGGGAAAATAAATTTGTTCATTTTGGAGGACAAAAGAACAGGATATTATGTAAATGGAGAAAAACTTCAGAAAGCTGCAATACAAAGCAAATTGGGGACAGTTGTGCACAAAACACAGAAAACCTAGTACACAGGTGCAGCAGGTAATCAGAAAGGCTAATGAAATCAAAAGCAGAAATTGCTGGAGAAACTCAGCAGGTCTGGCAGCCTTCTGCGGAGGGAAAACAATTAAACTTTCCGGTCTAGTTACCTTTTTTCAGAACAGGGTCACTGGACCTGAAATGTTGACACTGCTTTCTCTAAAGTTTTGTTTTGCGAAGAATTGTAACTCAGGTTGTGGATGAGGTTGTAAACTTGCTCACCGAGCCGGTATGTTTGATTGCAAATGTTTCATCACCCAGCTAGGGAACATCATCGTCAGTGTGCCTCCAGTGAAGCGTTGGCGTTCTGTCCCGCTTGTTACTTATATGCCTTGGTTTGCCGGGCTGGTTGGCATCACGTCTGGTTCTGTTTTTCAGTGGTTTGTATATCAGGTCCTGTTCAATGTGTTTCTGATGGAGTTCTGGTTGGATTCGCTGGCATGTCTCTGTTTGGTTTGTGCTATTATGGATGTATTGTCACAGTCAAATTTGTGTCCTTCTTTGTCTGTATGTACTGAAAACTGGTAGTGTCTCTTGATGGCTAGTTGGTGTTCATGTATCCTTATTGTCAGTTTTCTTCCAGTTTGGCCTATGTAATGTTTTTCACAATCTTGCATGGTATTTTGTATATTATGTTAGTTTTCTTGGTTGTGGGTATGGGGTCCTTTACATTTGTCAGTAGCTGTCGCAGGGTGGTTGTTGGTTTGTGGGCTAACCTGATACCTAGGGGTCTGAGTAGTCTTGTGGTCATCTCTGATATGTCTCTGATGTATGGTAGGGTGACTAGTGTGTCTGGCCGTATTGTGTCTTCTTGTTGTAGTCTGTCACGGAGGTAACAGCAGATTGTGCTTTTTGGGTATCCATTCCTTTTAAAAACTCTGTGTAAGTGCTCCTGTTCTGCTTTTCGCAATTCCGGATTGCTGCAGTGTGTTGTGGCCCATTTGAATAATGTCCTGACGCAGCTTCGTTTGTGTGTTGGAATGGTTACTGTTGTGATTAAGTATCTGGTCCATACGTATGGTCTTCCTGTATACACGAGTCTGGAGTTTCCCGTTGTTCTTACATTCTACCATTATGTCTAGGAAGGGTAGTCGGTTACTGTTCTCTTCTTCTTAATGGACAATACATTCACAATAGCATGAGCGAAACAGAGACATGCAAGGGAATTCTTGGAGGCCTGGCATTCCAACTGAACTCCACCAACAAACACACTGAACTGGACCCGATATACAAACCACTGAAAGACAGAAGTAACGGAAGTAATGCCAACCACCCCAGCAAACCGAGGCATATAAATATCAAGGCCCAGGCCTTTCAGTATCCCCTCACCTTTCTAAACTTCATTGAGCATAGACTCAGAGTCCTCAAACATTCCTCATATGTTAAGCCTTTCATTCCTGGGACCATTCTTGTGAACCTCTCTGGACCTGCTCCAGGGCCAGTACATCCTTCCTGAGGTATGGGGCCCAAAATTGCTCACAATACTCGAAATGTGGTCTGACCAGAACTTTATAAAGCCTCAGAAGTACATTCTTGCTTTTATATTCTTGTCCTCTTGAAATAAATGCCAACATTGTATTTGCCTTCCTAACTACTGGCTAAACCTGCAAGTTTACCTTAAGAGAAACCTGGACTAGAACTCCCAAGTCCCTTTGCACTTCAGATTTCTGAATTTTCTCCCCATTTAGAAAATAGTGCACACCTTCTATTCTTCCTAACAAAGTGCACGGCCTCACACTTTTCCATGTTGTATTCCATCTGCCATTTCTTTTCCCACTTTCCTAACCTGTCTAAATCCTTCCACAGCCTCCCTGCCTCCTCAATACTACCTGTCCCTCTTTTTTTAAGTTGTTGTCACTGGAGCCTTTGTGAGTTAAGATACAGTGTAGTAGTGCAGTAACACAGTAAATCACCAAGGCTTTTTCTCAAAAAGCAGAGGAAGCAGGATCTTTGTGCATTTAAGGCTGAGATAGATAGATTCTCGATCAGTGTGGGAATCAAAGGTTACGGGGCAAGAGCAGGAAAGTGGAAGTGAGGAGTATGTCAGATCAGAAATGATCCTATTGAATGGCGGAGAAGATTGAGGGGTCAAATGACCCACTCCTGTTCCTATTTATTATGGCCTCGTGGATAGCATAAAAGTAATGTTTTATATGGTGTAGAAGAAACAGTGGCCAGCTAGCCATGATAGGCTCAATCAAATTTGAAAATGAGATTAAAACAGTTGCTTGTGTACGACAGGTACAGACTGTGCCATTGAACGAATGAGTGAACCTAATGTAATATGAATGTTAACACTTCCAAAACAATTACCTTAGACAACATGCTTTTTTACTTCATTGTTAAGAATTACATAATCATGAATTTAACTATATTACTTTTACCATTAACCCATCTGCCCCTTGTCTGACTTTACAAATGCGGGAGTATGATGGAATAGTGTGCAGCTCCGACAACACTGTTCAAGTTGACAGGATGCTAGACAAAGCAGTTGCTAGATTGGCAACCCATCCACCATCTTCAAAATTCACTCCCTCCACTACCAATGCACAATGGCAGCAGTGTGCACCATCTACAAGATGCACTGCAGCAACTCACCGAGTTTTCTTCTACAGTACCTTTCAAACCTGTGACTTTTACTGCCCAGGAGGACAAGGGTTGTAAATAGATGGGAACACATCCACTTCTAAATTCCTCTTCAATCCTGATTTGGAAATATATCACGGTTCCTTCAGTGTCACTGGGTCAAAATGCTGGAATTCCCTCCCTAACTGCATTGTCTCTACAGACACCCCAACGACAGCTGTGGTTCAAGAAGGCAGCTCACCACTATCTTATCTGGAGCAAGCAGGGATGGGCAATAAATGGTGGTCAATCTAGCAATGCCCTCATTCGATGAATGAATAAAAGTAATGGCATTCTAAAGACTCATGACTCTCTCTAAAAGAAAAGTGCCCCCCATTTTGTCTTAAATGGGCAACTCCCTATTTAAAAAAGAAACAGATCGTGGTTTTGTTAAGGTGTTGGCACTGGAGCTTTGGTGAGTTAGATGTAGTGCAGTAACTCACCAAGGCTTTTTCTCAAAAGGCAGAGGAAGCTGGGTCTTTGTGCACGATTAAGACAGAGATAGCTAGATTCTTGACAAGCAAGGGGATGAAAGGTTGTTGTGGGTAGTTGGGAATATAGTCATCAGGTTAGCCATGATTGTACTGACTAAAAAGAGCAGACTTGACGAGCTAGGTCCTCCTCCTAATTAATTACTTGGGAAATGCTCTAAATAGAAAAAAAGTTAACTGTCACAATTGTAAATTTTGGAAATACTGACAGGGCTTCATGCAACAGCAATCGCCATCCTATCTCCCTTTGACAAAACAAAACTAGACTAAAATGAGGAACATTTTAATAAATTATGCATTACTATCTATTGCAGAAGTTTTTTTTTAAAACAGACAAATACTTGTGATTAAACAAAAGGGGTTTAAAAAAAAATTTCTTTATTTTTACAATATGCACTTTAAGTAAAATCCTTACTGAGACTAAATTTCATATCCTGACCAGTCTCTCCTGCACCAAAACCTCAGTGCATGGTGATGTCGATTGTTTTCAGTGATCTGCTAGCATAGGTCAATCTTATAATTTAGCTTCCAAATTAACAGTGATTTAGACTTGTAGCCTATATGTAGAATGCCTTTAAAAATTACCCTGAGGCATCCCATTTATTGTGGAATATTAGACTTCAGTGATCAAGATTTAAACTAGCTTCCTAGTCTTGAATGTTCTTTTAAAACCCAGTTAGCACTGGAGAGGAAAAGTCATAGACCCTGGGGTTTAGATTATGTGCCAATAGTGTGAGATGCACTGTGCGTTATATTGGGGAAGAGGAAGAAATCAAATCAGTTAATTGGAACCAGCATCTATGCTAACCATGAAATACTCTTGGTTGAAGAAAGGTGAAAGTAGAGTCAGAAAGTCACACAAAAAAAGATTATGAAGACCAGGAAAGGTGAGCATCTCAGAAACTAGCTGTGGCCTATTGAATATTTCAACGTCTACCTTAATAACATGCTTCCCAATACAACTACAAGACAATGTTTTCTTTCAACAATCAAAAGTAATAAAACATACTTCTCATACTCCCCTTTGGCAATTGCTACTTTATGAGGCATATGCAGATCCTTTTCTGTTGGATCAAAGTTCTCAACTCACAACATATACCACATTTTTTAGGACATAAAAATGTTCACTGTGTAAGGCATTTTAGCCATTTGGCAAGTCCTTGACTCATCTCTCTCTGAAGTATTTTTCCTAAAGGAAAATCATTCTGTGTTACATGCAAATATGTGCTACATTTGAACATTTACGGCAAAGAGACATATTTGTATCTCTGAGATACAGGCTTGAAATCATGTTGGGTACATTATGACAAACATGGTATAACTAAGTTATATTTAGAAAAAAAAGTTGAGGAAACATAAATGGATACATCATTAATAACGTAAATAAATAGATAAATGAGTCTTTCTAACTTAAGGTAGATTTGGCTTAATTATTATGAAATGCAATTCATCTTTATTATTTTCAAAATCTTAATGGACCATAAAGCAAATGCAATAACACACAGGATACGATTGCTTACCTCTTGTGTGTGTTCTTTTAGGTTTTCTTGCCAGATCTTTTCAACAATGGAGATGTATTTCTTGTCTGAGACATAACAGCTTGCCAGCAAGACATGATTTAGATTTGTTCCACTTTTCATAGCTTCTAGAACTTTTTGGACATGGCTCAGCGAAAGTGCAGCCTCAGATCTGACACCCCCTTTGCTAAGTTGCATGGTGCATGGAATCAATCCAATCTGACCAGCACAAAATATTTCGTTTCCAACCTAAGATAAATAAAAGTCATTAACGTGTTGATCTCTATTAGGAATGAACTATTTCAAAATCTTAAACAGAGCCAACGGATTATATTAAAACTGTGTGCATATTAACTGTAGTGCAGATCCTAAAGGGTTAGATAATGTATGCTGTTCAGAATCTGTGTTCAACAGTCCAGACGACGATTGCAAAAAAAGCACATTCAATTAATTAATTTAACAATGGTACTGCACATCAACATGTAAGAAGCACCCCTTTTCCTTACCTTCATTAATTTAACTCAAATCAAATTTTCTACTGAAGAATATACAGAGTGGGAAATTAATTCAAACTAAGTGAGTAAGGAAAACATTCCAACATACTTTGGGATGTAAGTGCTTTTCGTATTTGCACTCAAATACGAATCCAATTAAGTGAGACATGTATCTTGTATCTAAACATTAGCAATTTTCTTTGACAGCTTGGCTTAACTATATCGAATAGTTTGGACAAAGTAGCTTACTTTTTTATTTTAAAAGCATAAATTTTGTTTATGACAACGAGATGTGAATGATTTTGAGATAAGAAATTGTTATGATCCTGTTAATTAGCATCAAGGGCAAGCTCTGAGATTACATATAGCATGACTGGCTACAAACTAAACTGTCTGTTCCTCCTTAAAAACAAAAACAGAAGTTGCTGGAAAAGCTCAGCGGGAAATTAACGCTTTGGGTCCAGTGACCCTTCCTCAGAATTAGGTCGCCAGATCCGAAATGTTAACTCTGATTTCACAGATGCTGCCAGACATGCTGAGCTTTTCCAGCAATTTCTGCTTTTGTTTCTGATTCACAGCATCCACAGTTATTTTGGTTTTTATTGTGTCTGTTTCTCTTACCCAATGAATAGGCCGAAATCTCAAAGAGCATCTACCAAATTATGGACTTTAAGAAAGTGTCAAAATTGAGGGCAATGTCATGTTAACTGAGATTTTGTGGTCAGTCGTAAAGTGATGACACTTGTTACTGATCTTGAATAAAACTGACCAAAGGCCTAACAAGCTGAACGGCATGTATTTGAACTTTCCTGAAATTAACTTCACATTGTTGTCAGGTTTAAAATATTTCTGGTTTCCTGAAACACTGATGCCATCAAACAGGTTAGTCCAGCCAAACTCTCTGCAGAATGCTCTCAAACAGCAAACCAGAAAATGACAAGCAGCTTTCATCGTTTACTTGAAATAATTTTACAGGAAGTGACATAAAAGTGGACATATACGGGAGATACAGGTAGAAGGGGAAATGCTAAACATTTCTTGACGAAAAATAATTATTACTTTAAAAAAGTTATAGAATTTCTTTTCATCATGGTGTAGAGACATTTCACAGTCAACATTTGAAAATTACATTTCCCAGGCCAGAGAAGATGTTTGGCAGAAAATGCAACTCTGTACTCCATTAAAAAAAACCCCATAAAAATGTATTCCATGTGGTGAAACTTTTTCAAGGATTTTTAACAGTGAGAATAATAACACATTGCAATCAATTCAGCAATTGGGAGATGATTTCCAATTAGGGTGGCACTAAGTGAGGAAAAACAGGAATTACTAACTATAACTTCTGGATTTTCACATTTAACTAGTATGGATGCCAGATGTCGGTGTCATTTTTGCAGTATAATTTTGGCATTTTCACTGTCATTATAATTTAAGAACTAAGGCTGTTATGCTTCCACATTCTCTTTGGGAGTCAGATGAGCTTGCACAATTCTCAGAAAAGATCCTTAAAGAATTACACAGAAGTTAAAATTTTACCCTGTCAAGGTGGGAGAAGGGACATTTCAAATGCAAGTGCCCATAGGCTTAAAAAAAAGATATAAAACTGCACTAAACCGATAATAAAAGATTCAAAGCTTGAAATGTTTTTATTGAAAAAGAAAACAAAAGTTGATTAAAATGGTACTGTTTATTTAAACCTATCATGATGTAACAGATATGCACTGAATCAGAAGCCACGTCACACGAATGTGATGTAGTAGATTTGTTTTATAAGCATAATTTTATTTTTCTCTTTCCAACTCTTTGTTTTAGGACAAGTGCTCATTCAGAAAGATCAACCATTTTTTTTGTATCCGGGGAGTACTTAACAAGAAATTATAATTTTTACATTAATTTATGTTTAGGCATGGTGCAGTCTTGTCCCTTATCACAATGCATAAATACACATAAGGATGCTGTGTAAAAACATACAAATAGGAACATAAGTAGTTTGTTATAATATGATAGAATTCTTCATCAGGATTGAAAGTGATGTAATTGATTCTGAAACTAGGGTCCTGTATTTAAATACAGGAAACTGCAATGCTATGAGGTGCAAGTTGGCTACGATAGATTGGGAAATGCTACTTAAAAGGATGACAGTGGAAAGTTAATGGCAAACATTCAATTGTCTATTCCTGTCTGGCGCAAAAGTAAAATGGGAAAGGTGGTTTAGATCCAAGGAATAGACATACAAATTGGCCAGAAAGACACACAGATCTGAGGAGTGGAGCAGTTTAGAATTCAGCAAAGGAGGACAAAGGGACTATTAAGATTTGGGAAACTAAAGTATGAGAGTAAGTATGCAGGGAAGTTAAAATCTGACTGTAAAATTTTCAATAGGTATAGGAAGAGAAAAAGATTAGTGAGGACAAATATAGGTCCCTTGCAGTCAGAAACTGGGGTATTTGTAGTGGGGAACGAAGAAATCGCTGACCAACTAAATATTTACTTTAGTTCCATTTTCACAAATAGCATACCAGAGATGTTGGGGAACACAGAGTTTAATGAGAGGGAGGATTTGAAGGAAATCAGTTTTAATTGGAAATTGATGGGATCAAGAGCCAATAAATACCCAGGATCTGATAATCCACATCCTAGAGTTCTTAAGGAAGCAGCCCTAGAATTAGTGGATTCATTCATGGTCATCTTTAGATTCGTTAGATTCTGGAACAGTTCTAACAGGTTGAAAGGTAGCTAATGTAATCCCTCTAGTTAAAACGGGAGGTCGAGAAAAATACATGGGAATTCATAGAATCCCTACAGTGTGGAATTATAGACCATTCAGCCTAATGACACTAGTGGGGAAAATGCTAGAGGTCATTATAAAAGATTTAATAGCGCAGCACTTGGTAAACAGTGACAGGACTGGACAGAATCAGCATGGACTTATGAAAGGGACATCATGCTTGACCAATCTACTGGAATTCTTTGTGGACGTAACCAGTGAACTCATGAGGGGGAAACAGTGGAAGTGGTTTATTTGGACTTTCAGAAAGCTTTTGACAAAATCCCACTTAAAAGATTAGCATGTAAAATTAAATCACATGGGATTGACGTGTTGTACTGAGATGGGTCAAAAACTGGTTGGCAAAGAATAGGAATAAATAGGTCTTTCTTCCCAAATGGCAGACAAATAAAGTCCTACAGGGATCAGAGCTACAATCCCAGCTGTTCACAAAATATATTAATGATTTAGATGAGGGAACAACATCTCTAAGTTTGCAGATGACACAAAGCTGGGTGGGAAGGTGAGCTTTAAGGAGGATGCAGAGGTGCTTCATTGTGATGTGGACAAGTTGAACGAATGGATAATGCGTGGCAGATGTGGTATGATGTGGATAAACATGATCAGTTTGGCAGCAAAAACGGGAAGGCAGATTATTACCTGAATAGCTACAATCTGAGAAAGGCGAATGTGCAACAAGACCTGGTGTCCTTATACACGAGTCAGTGAAGGCAAGCACACAGGTGCGGCAAACTGTAAAGAAGGTAAATGGTATGTTGGCTTTCATGCTGAGAGGATTTGAGTACAGGAGCAGGGATGTGTTGCTGCAATTGTTTAGGGCCTTGGTGGGACCACACCTGGGGTATTTTGCACAGATTTGGTCTCCTTATCTGAGACACAACGTTCTTGCCATAGAGGGAATGCAGCAAAGATTTACCAGACTGATTCCTGGGACTGGCAGGGCTGATGTATGAGGAAAGGTTAAATCCGTTAAGGTTATATTCACTGGAGTCCAGAAGAATGTGGGGGTATCTCACAGAAACCTCTAAAATTCAACAGGACTAGACAGGGTAGATACAGGAAGGATATTTCCAATGGCGGCATGTCCAGAACCAGGGGTCATAGGCTAAGGATATAAGGATTTAGGACTGAGATGAGGAAATTTCTTCACCCAGAGAGTGGTCAGCCTGTAGAATTCACTATTACAGAAAGCAGCTAAGGCCAAAACATTGTATGATTTCAAAGAGTTGGATATAGCACTTGGAGCTAATGGAATCAAAAGATATGGGGGAAAAATAGGAACAGGGTACCAAGTTAGAGGATCATCCATATCATATCTTTGATGCCCTGTCTCAATAACACCTTTCCACACTATCCCAAATGCTTTAGTATCCAAAAAAATTTCAATCCTTGTCTCGAATACACATATTGACTGAATTTCCACAGCCCTCTGCAGTAGAGATGTCCAAAGGTACACAGCCCTTAGTACAAAGAAATTTTGTCATCTCAGTCCCAAATGGCAGACACATTATTCTGAGACTGTGAATCCCAGTGACGGGAGACTGCTTCCCTACACCTAACCTGTATTTTGATTGTGAACTGAAATGGGAAAAGGACTCTTTCAAACAAAAAATTGGTTCTCTCAACAGCTGCTGCATACCTAGTCTAGCTATAGCCATTAGAGTTGGACCAACTCTGTCAGTAGTGGTGCAGCGAGCTATTTTTAGTGGTGGACTTTGAAGTCCCTCATCCAGTGTTTTCTTGTTACCATCATTCTACCAATTAATGTTCAACACGGAGGAATACCGTTTCATTGAGTGGTGAGGATGGCACGTGCTAATCAGCAGAAGGCTTCCTTGCCCATGTTTGACCTGATGGCACAAGGCGACATGGAGTGCAGAGTCATTGTTAAAAATTCCCAGAGCAACTCTCCTCCAAGTGCATTCCACATGCTCCTTTGTGGTCAGTCCTATCAGTGGTTTAT